GTACAGCTATTCGTAAAAAGGTAGTCAAGTCTTAAGAGTTCCAACAGTTGTCTGATAAACCTACTTGTTAACAACATTACATATGTATGCACGCATTATTATTTTGACAATACTGCCATAAAGTTTCCCAATGCTTATCTAAGCAAAGGATAAACGGATTCCCTACTATTATCAGTAACTGTTTCGCTCTCGTTAAAGCAACGTTAAATCTCTGGAAAAAATGCACATCAAATATTAAATACAATTAGACAAATATAATATACGAGAAAGCAATTAAAACATCATACTTTTGGATTTGATAAGAAGCCGATGTGCTCCTTGCCATTGTGACAAAACGTTTCTGAGCGTACTGTCGATAAAATTATAACTTCTCTCTCCTGGCCTTGGAACGTTTCTATTGTCCCTACACTTGTCCACATACTATGATTACGTAACTTATTTTCGATCATCATTTTTTGTTCCCTGAACGGCGTTATAATGGCAATATCGTTTTGTCCAATTTTACGTCCATCAATCCTAGTATTCTTTAACAAATTCGCTAAGCAATATGTTACAATTAGAGCTTCCTTTTCATTAGATACACTGAAAGAATAATGCATTTGTCGTTATCAATGAAATAGAATAGTACAAGCGATGGTAAAAGTGTTACCTCAGATTTTCTGCTCTAACTTCTACACCTTGAACCGCGAAAAAGATAATAGGAAACGTTCTGTTCGATAATATATCCCAGTTCGAAGTAATTTTACACAGTTTCGCACATGGTATTAAGTCCCCGTAAAATAATTTGTTGGACGTATATAAAATAGCTGCGCGACTGCGGAAATTTCGAATTAGTTTCGTTATGTAACGCGGATTATATTTGTTGTCCACTTTTTGATATGGTTCGCATTCCATTAATCTTTCCAACAATGATTTTCCTGAAAGCATATTGTTTTAACATGACAATGATACAGTCAACTTAGACTGTATTGATACATAATTGTCACTAACCGAACAGGTGTGCAATTTCTCTACATTTAACTACAGGTCCTAGTTGATAAGGATCGCCAGCAATTATAATTTGCGACTGTAACATTTCACCACAATGGCTCAGCGAATTGATGGTCGTAAATGGAATCAATGTTTCCAGTTCTGTACTCTGACTGGCCTCGTCGATGAATATATGGGAGAAATGGTCATTCCGTAAATTAAGATTCACCAATCTGTCAATCATGAAAATCATTAAAAATGAGATACTATATAGGGTTGTAAACACAAGTGAGAAAGAAAATACCTTATACACGTAGTTAACGTTGTAATAACGATTTTCTTAAGAGTAAATACTTCGTTTGGCAAGTAAAGGCTCTCTCCGTTAATAAAATTGGAACAGTCGATAAGTTTATTGTCTATGGTGTTCCTATGAATTTAGATAAGAAAACAATAACAGAAAACAGATAAATAACTTGTATGAGACATTGGTGCGTCACTTACGCTGTTTTTGCTTTTGCATATATCCGAAATATATATTTAGTGGGAAGGAACTGTAATAATCTCTTTGTGATTTCATCTGCTGCCGCGTTCGAATGTGCGCATACTAAAATACTTTTGCTCTTTACTTGTTCTCGAACCTATTAACAATCATGAAAACGCATCTATAAAATAATTACAAGTTATAGCATAAAAATTAAATTGATTTTTATATATAAATTATACTTGACAAATAGCTTCGACTAATGTTGTTGTCTTTCCAGTGCCGGGTGGGCCGAATACAATATACGGAGCAGGATACGCCGAATTATGCAGAATATTCATTACTGCCGCTTTCTGTTCAGGGTTCTTTGTAACACTTTCATGGAACCAGTTCAACTCGCTATGTAAAGAAAGAATTGAAATACAATATAAACGTTGCGAAGCGAAGTTTTGATATAAGTTAACTTACACGTCAGGTAAAGTGAAATGATTTGTCTCCATTTTAGGAAACATTAAATTGACCAATTTATATTTGTTCATTATATACAACACGTAATGACAACATCTTAATGGCCAATTCGTAGGGTAGAAACGGACATTATATTTTTTATCCTTATCTACTACAGTATTGCTAAAAATTTGTTTAGAATGATTATTTCAGTTTATTTCTATCCTTACCTGTTTGTTAAAAATTAAATAGGATACTTACTCATCATATGGAGATATGTACACCTTCTTATTCACTACATCTATTACGCGAAAGCTCCATGACTCATTAGTATCTACTACAGAAATTTTTACCTCGTCGTTAATGAAAATAAATGGATCGTCTTCATCTAAAGTTGGTACTTGTATAATAAAAACATCGGAGGATTCTGACTTAAGTTGCTGATCCATCATATTATGTTTCTCAGCTTCCAGTGTATAGCATCTGCTTTCCAGATATAACATAATTTTAAACAGTATCAGATAATGTTCAGGGCTTATATCTTTTACGTTTGCAAGGCCCTTAATAAGGTTTATATAATCGTTGCATAGTTTATCATTCGTCAAGTTTTCTTTGTTCAAATGTTTGAATGCCCATATCAACTCTCTTGGTGGCTTATACATGGGCAAATACGGTGATTTAGTCTCATTGAGACTTGTGGCCTTCCTTATATTACCTCCTCCTCCTTTTTTGTTTCCTCTTGCCATGTTGCAAACTGTATTCACTTTCGCTACTCAATATATCTCCAATCTAATCGAACAATTTCAACAAAATGCGATGTTTCACTTGGATGAAATTATAAATTTTTGGACGTCCTGTCTTGCAAAGTTGCAACGTTTCGTATGTACTACCATGTACTACGCACGCAGGAACGTTGACAATGAGAAACGTTTCGAGAACGGGAGTTTCCCGGCTTAGTGAGAACCTCAAGCACGTGTAACCGATTTTTTGTTATGACTCCATTGTAAAGTAACAATATACGTACGTACTCTTTTAGATTGTAACAATTTGTCTTTTCTTTTTACATTATTTGTTTACGTGAGTCGCAAGGTAGATTTCAAATGAGCGATTTTCTATTTCTTACGCCGACCCAGAATCCCAAATGACATCGCTGTCAGATTAGAAATTATTTTTTGCATAACTCAAACGATCGATAGGATGGCTTATTTAAGACATGATTTAAGACTAGCGCATGAGAAACGTTTCGAGAACGGTAGTTGTATAGGAAAAAGCGTGTAAAAACGTACTGATATTAGTTATCTATTAATGATAGAAAGGAAAATTTGGGAAGGTTCGAGGGATTTTAGGGCATATGTTTGACGTTTGACAATACTTTCCCGCGTAGATGGCATTATCCGCGAGGAAAGTGTTGTGGAGAAGTGGAGAACAGTTCGCAATTTGTATGTTACGTGTATGTACTATATACACATAGTGTCGACGAATAATAATGTAATGTTCCATATTATTCGGAATGACAATTTGACGTGCATGTGACGTCGGTCATTTTTAACTGTATCGTACGATGTGCGCTTAACGATCCCATCATAGGAACGAGATGGGTACGTTGCATTTCTCGCTGATAAAAGTACAACGTACATATGCTTACAATGTACATACGCATTACAAGTTAAAGTATGGTGAATGGCTTTAAAAATCATAGCATGCACGAGTATTTATCAATTATTGTTTGGTATCTTTGCTACTGAGTACCTGTGTTACACATTATTATTTTCCACAGAATATCTGATACTGCTGTATCTTTTCTATCTTAAGTACGCATTAAAGAGATTGTGTTCGTATTCCACGAATAATTCTTTTGTACTTGTTTATTCAGTTAATTAGACAGCACGTGCATTGATGTAAATTCAACGCTGCACGTAACTATATTTTGTAAATAATTTTGATTCCAGTAAAATGTCCGAGTTGATGGATAATTCTACAGAAAAGATCGATGTAATCCTTCCCAGGCAGGGTTTATTGTACCAGGAAGCGAATTTGGACTACATACTTTGTAAGCCGAAATTGATTCCACTGAAATCAGTCACCTTAGAGAAGTTAGAGAAGATGCAAAAGGATGCTGAACTGAAGATCAAAGAGGCCGAAGAACACACCGAGACAGATAATAACGAATAGGATAATAACGAGTGATAACAAAAGTTATGATTGTAAAGTTATGGTGAGATAAAGTCGACCGGATCACCAACATGGTTCTCGGAATATTTTTAACGGAGATCGTAGTAGCATTTTGTCTTGCTGCTACCTTGCTGTATAAATATGGAAATATTTTTCGACAGCATATCATAGTTACGATCTCTGTACTGATAGCATGGTACTTTTCGTTGCTGATAGTATTTATATTGCCCTTAGATGTTTCATCCGTAAGTAATCATTCATCAACGTTAGTTATTAATATATCGAATTGTTTTTAATTTTCTACTTTTTTACAGACCGTTTTCAGACAGTGTGTGGAACAAAATATTCACAATAAGACAAATTCTAATAGTACAACAACAGCCCCAATTCATAGTTGCAAGGAACCTTGGCCTAATGTACCAGAGCATGTGTTTCCAAATTTATGGAGGATCGTATATTGGACCTCTCAGTGTCTAACATGGTTGATTTTGCCATTGATGCAGTCTTACATTAAAGCAGGGGATTTCACAGTTCAGGGAAAACTGAAGTCTGCTTTGATAGATAATGCTATATATTATGGTAGTTATTTATTCATATGCGGTATCCTTTTAATATATATAGCGTTGAAGCCTGGTTTTGATCTTGACGGGTAAGTATGATAATAATATGCAGTGATTCACATTAATATTCATACTATTTCGTACACACTTCAAAATAGAATAACTATTTTAATATTGGAGTAAACTTAGCCTTCCAATATCCCATTGAAAATTAAGTTGTGTGGTCTAATATTAAAAAAGTTATTCCGTTTTGAAATATGTCTAAATATTAATAGGAGCCACTGTAATTAAAAGCACAATTCACACTTCTTATACTTCACATGATAATATCTATTTCAGTCAAAAACTGAAAGCCATAGCATCGTCTGCGTCAAATACATGGGGTTTATTTTTGTTGGTGCTACTCCTTGGATACGCTCTAGTAGAAGTTCCTCGTGGATTATGGAATGCTAGCAAACCTGGATATACATTGAATTATAGTTATTTCAAAGTAGCTAAGCTAAGTTTGGATAAATGCGAGGCGGAAGAAACGGTCGACGATATACTTGAGTCTCTACAAGCAGCTACAGTGTCTATCGGCCCGGGACATCCTTATCATTGTAACTTGGAAACGATTTTCCAAAAGATCCCAGCGGAATTAAAGGATAGGATGAACAGGAGACAATTGCCAGATGACACACCGACGGACACGCCATCGGAAAAAGCGTTGATTCGTTTGCACAGACAAGTTAGTTCTTAATTAAATGTATAATCCGATTCATCAATCCATATATAATAATTTGCTAATCTCTTTATCAGACTATAAAAGCACTGCAAACTTTGCAACGTATAGAAACCCAGTGGGGGATTTTAGTTGAGAAAATTATCGATTTAGAGGACATAGCGAGGAATCAGATAAGCGAAGATAAAAGATTCAAGTCTACTTTCCCTAAGCGACGCTCGATTCCCCTCCTCATTATTTATAGTCCAGTTGTCGGTAAGTATTAATGATTATGGAAATCCAAATAATTTTTAACGAGTCCTACGATTTTTAGAGTGGTACTGGAAATGTGTCATAAAGAGTTACGTGCAGAAAGCTGCAGCTGTTTGCGCTGGCTGTCTTTCAGCAGCTGTAGTATGGTCAGAAGTAACGTTTTTCAATAAATCTCCAGTGTTATCACTGTTCGCCCAATTCTTGAATCTAGCTAGAAACAATTATGATTACTTTACGGTCGAGGTACGACTATCTGATGTCCCTAGATGAAATTCTTCTCTTAATTCATGTGCTTTCTTCTAGGTGCTATCAATGCTGATAATCGCGTACCTTTGCTACTGTGCTTATTCAACCGTTTTAAAAATCCGCGTGTTGAACTTGTATTACCTCGCACCGCATCATCAAACCAATGAATATAGTTTAATATTTAGCGGCATGATGTTGTGCCGTCTTACTCCACCTATGTGCTTAAACTTTCTGGGTCTTATACACATGGATTCGCACATTATAAAGACTCACATTTTGGAAACCTATTACACTCAGGTAGATACTTGAATAACAAATGGCTTCTTGGTAAATCTCTCATTGTTCTATTTATTCAGGTAATGGGGCACATGGATGTTATTTCCATTACGTCTGATGGATTTAACGTATATTTCCCAATGGCTATTCTGGCATTTTGCCTGTCGACGTATTTTAGTTTAGGAAGCAGACTGCTTTCTATGTTGGGTTTCCAGCAGTTCCTCGACGACGACGAATTCACGATGGATCTCGTCGACGAGGGTCAGGAGTTAATAAAACGTGAAAGACGCAAACGGCAAAGGGCAGAGGATTCAATGTGCAGAAGACGGGAGTTTCAAGAAAGATTTAGTACTTCTAACAGTGCGTCTCGTTATAAAATGTCAAGGCAAAGCACCGACACAGGTACGTTGAACTTAATTTAAATATAATACCTGATCATGAACTTCTTGCTTTAATTATAGTACGACCTTTGAAACGGGACGAGTCAGTGGAATCTGCAAGAGCTGGATTACTGCGCGACTTCGACCCTGCCGAATATTATATCGGGATGGCGTCCAATGTTGATAGTTACGGTGCAAATAATAGTTTCGACAGAGATTATCAGCCGGATGATCTCTACGAAGACCGCATAGATAATTCAAGAACATTTGTCAGGAATACGAATCGCGTAGGCCCCCCGCCAAGAGGATTGTTCGACGACATTTGAATCGCTCATTAACAAATTTATAGAAACAGGTATATTTATATTTAAAAAATACTCAAACTATCTATCCTGATCTTCATAAGTTCGTAAACACAGTAAAAAAGGTAACTACAGATAAATAAGGTAGACAAAAGATCTTTTACGTGGTTTTATTCATCGAGTTTAAACGAACAGCCAATTAAAATCGACGTAAGTTTCGATTTGTTTTCTTTAATATTTCACGATTGGTATAATACTAATAAAATAATTAGAATGTTGTAATGTAAAATTTTGAATTTCATACAATATTTGATATATTTTTAACGATCTACGTACATATAAGCAATTATAATATCGTAGATAATCAACCTGAAATAATGTTCGTAGAATCGCGAAAAGTATTAAACAAACATTTCAAAATCTGATTAATAAAACCAAAGTAGAAAGTAACGTATAAATATTCCAATCTATCTCTATCTATCTCTTGTACTGCACATTATTAATTATAACTTGTATTTATATTTAGGACAATTAACGTAGTTTACGACGTAGCATATATGTACTTAGAATTCTTATAATATGTTTAAATATATTATAACATTTAAAAAGGATTTTATCACGTGATCGATTCTTTTAATAAGGAACTTTTGATCAAGTTTCCGCAAATAATTTGTACAAATTTCAATTACTTTTGTAAATGATTATAGTTGTACATAGCAGATATTTATATTGCTTCAACTGCAGTTTATTTACGTTGTACATGTACATTGTCTTTTTAGTTGTAAAATAGGCAGTAGTTTGTAAGGAGAAAACATAATAACGTTCCCTCTCTTATGCAAAATGAAATATGTATATCAATTTTATTGAAAATACTTCATACATGTACGAAAATAGTTAACAAAATACCGTGTGTCTAAAATATAACGTGCAATAATAATAGTATCTGCTAATAAATATTTCATGTATTGATAAGAAATAACAAATCTCTTTCTATATATTCGCTTCATTCTTTTCTTACAGTTTCAAAAATATTTCGTATAGATATTAAAAACAATTTCGTTGCGCATTTCAATATATTGTTCAAACGTTATTTTTCAACACGATGTAAACATTCAGTATAATAGTTATAGAAAAACAATGACGAGTCAATAAATTTTAAATTATATCAACACATCTTAACAAGTTAATAATATAATGGTAACAATTAATGAAAAAGATAATAAGATTGGTATACATTTAATAGGAAGTTCCAGGAATTTGGCATTTGTAATTTGTTCTAAGTAATCTGGATAAGTATCAAAATATAGGACCAGAATGTATGCTTCATATATAAAAAATATAGAGAGAATAAATTCTATATTTGTTTTCAGATCTCTAATCGGTGCGAACGGATATCGAGTTTTTGATTAAGTGAAGTAAACTATATAAAACGTTATTGTCACTAAGATAAAAAAAGAGAGAGTATAGGCGATCACTATTTTTACTATTTTCACGTGCTCCGACTGTGCGATACGATTTTTCACGTGCCTGTACCCAGAGCTGCCCAACTCTGGCATTAACAATAAAGGTTCCAACAATAACAGACTGGACCTGTTCGCGCGAGGATCGGTCGCATCGTCTTGTTTAAGACTGTGGGACCGAAACACGTCGTTCCTGTAATTCATCCAGTTTTGCAAATCAGTATCATATCCAATATGTTTTATAGAGCTTAAAATGTTACTATGGTTTACGTGAAACGCAGTGGGTGAAATGCCGTTTCTCGACACCCTAGTATAAAAATGATTTATACGCCGATGATAAAACTCAGTATTTACTCTTTTCATTTTATAGTCGCCTATAAGAATGATGTTTGGTTTCAACGTCATTCTTAGATCGAAAACGTCTTGTGGCGAGCCGTGAGAATAAAATATGCTACAGGCATTAGGTTTCACGTAATTATATACTAACAAGCAATGCTCGACATTATCGTACTGCAAAAATAATGCATCGACATCTTTATCATCTTCGGAAAGATACCTAAATTGTATAATATCATTTTGCTGAAACAGGTCAACTTCCTTCGCGTACAGCGGCTTCTTCGCGTATATCAATCGATCGGAATAGACCGGGCTACCTTGTAAATTCGCGCACTGTTTGCAAATTTTATGTCGTGGAAGAAAAAGAGTATTTATTAACGTCTTGGCCGTCGTCGGACTATACTTCTCGTAGTAGTCCATAATATCACACTCGAGAGCATTGACTTCTTCATATACATGATCTATTTTCGCGATTGCGTTACTTTCCACTAGGCTCTGTTTCGTATCCATCACACTTTTCAATTTACTCAAATATTTCGGAGGCTCGTTTTTGTACTTGTGAACTTCGTGTCCTGATGCCACCGATGATTCCGTATTGTTCGATACGGTGTCGATCGCATCTAAATTGGTAATAAGGGTAGGTGATACGTAATCGTGTTTAATTTCGTCTTCCTTGAGTTCTTCCATAGAGAAATAGCTATCGCTCCTAGATATCGCATTATCATGTATAACTTTACACGGTGGCCCGGTTTTTTCTACGTGCGAGATACCAAATGCGTGTGTCTCCGTGCTGGGTATGTCTATGGTTGTGTCAAACGGGTGCCATTTATCATCGTGTTTTTTCTCTCTAATGCTACGTTCCTTTTCTAATCGCAAATGTTCTAAGTGTAATCGGCGGTGGTGAACACACGCAAAATTATATCAATTCGTTCTCTCGTTCTCCTCGGATCGTAATTCCCGTTTAATTTTATTTAAATCATAAAGTACCTGAAACAGCGAGATTTTAGCATATTAGGGACAAAGTAGCATAATTATCAAAAAGATTATCAAAAGAATACGGACTTCTATAATAGAAGAAGCGCTCCAAGCTTGTGTTCTACAGCTATCTCTGCAATACTCTCCATCTTTGTTGGTGAGTTCCGGAAGTCCTCTCCAGTGATTTGTAGATGCTTCTATGAAATGTCGCGAAATTATAGCCTCGGTCGACTCGATCGTGCGACGTAGTTCTTCCTTCCCTCCGATTAACGGAGCAAAATATAATCGAGCTCGCAGGAAATATCCAATGGGCCAAACCCATTCCTGTTACATTGTATAATTACATTAGCGGTTCGAAGAATATTGAATTGCTAAACAATGTTACGTACTGGTCCTTGATGATAATTCCAGCCATGGGCTAACTTGGTATCCCCGCTGTCATTAGAATTATCGTAATTCCCGTTGTATGCCCAATCAGCAGGGTCCAACGTTTTCATTCCAAGCGGTCCTAACAAAATCTCTTCTGCTTTCTTTATCGCTGACCATGCATGCGCGGGATTAAACATCTCTGGAGCCTAAACAATATTATTTTAATATCGCGCAGCGTTTATATAATTAATATACTTACAACAACCATTGCGATGGGGAAATTAGGCCGTAGTTGATAATCGGCCCACGCTTGCGTGGCTCCATGGGTATCCTTGAAAATTCCACGACGATGGATCAACTCTGGCTTCAATTCTCCCTCCGTCGGAGTTTCGTTCACGTAGAAGTATTTTTCGAAGTTCAGTGAAATCTTATCTGCCCATTGCTTGTAACTCCACGTTACGACGGAACCTATGACAAATATCAAGTATAAAGAACAGAGAAAGATAAAAGATCAATGTTTCTTACCGTCACGATTTTTCCTTTGTACGCTGCCGTGAGGGAAAAGATTTTGCTTGTACAATTCGGCTAAAAAGCTGAGAATGCTCTTGCTGAGCCCCACGATTTCCACGGCTGAACCATCTCTCGGGGTCGCCGGTTTCCCCTTGTTACCAGCTTTCTCAGAGGATCCCATCTTATCCATCCACGTGCCACAATTCGCGTCGTTCCCACCGAATACGAATCCTGTCTCCGGATGCACTCCGATTTGATTATTAAAACCACGATCCGTCATGTGTTCGTCGATTTGCCTCCCGGCGTTTCGTTCCCGGAAGCAAAGTCCTTGGAAATGTACTACGAGAGCTTCTTGGATTATATCGTGCAACGGTTGATCCTGAAATTTTGTTTCGTGAAACGTACTGAAATAAAGGAGCGGACGATTGCTACGTACCACTTCTCCTGCGGGTAACGCAGGCGAATCGTCGGTTGGGAACAGCCTCGAGACTTTGTCTGTTAAAATTTTCAAGCCATTTGGCACTTCTTGAATGTAACACTGAATCGTGTACAACCACCACCACAAAGCATCTCGGCAATTGTATCTGCCATAAAAGATGTTCAAGAGATTACGATAAAGACAAATTACGAAGTATTGATATATTTTTACCTAGCGTTCTTTCCTTTGTCCAACAAATTCGGTATGAGACCGTGCCGTAAGGTTCCAGCATAACTGAGAATGATGAATCGCGCTTCTGTGTGTCTGCCTGTTAATATCAGCAGACCTCTTAAAGAGATGAACGTGTCCCGTCCCCAGTTTCTCATGTATCCTACTGTGAAGTGTGGTAAGCCGGCGGATAACGACATGCACAACTGTTCCTTCTCTCCATTATATTGTTTTACTTTTGGTTTCGGAGGATCCAAATTCGGAGACAAGTCCGGCAATGGAGCCGATCTCACTACTCCTCCCACTTGTGTCGAGACCAAGGATAAAATCTTAACGAAAGTGGATCCATCCTTCACAAAGCTTGTCATTAGGCTATAACATTGTTCGAGCAGAATCATATATACGTTAACGACTATAACGTCGAAGTAGCAAGGAACTAAGTAGCGAGGTATTAATTTGAATGGTTCTGTAGCTTCCTCGAGCCATTCCCCGAGAGCTTTGGTACCATCGTCCTCTTTCAATCGTTGCCAAGTGAAATCTATCAGCCAATTACCCTGCCTGAGATTGTTGCAGATCGGATGACCCAAATCATTATTAGGTCGAATGTCCGCTAACAAAGAAATGATGCCTTGTAGTCCTGCATAGACGAGAGGCCCGTAACCAGGAATATCGTAAACACCGAATTTGTTTGAAGTCTCGTCGCGTTCTTCCTGATCGCAACGGTACAAAGCCTTGTTCAAGTCTACCAAGTCCATGCGAGACGCGATAACGCGTATATCGGAGCTCTTCGACGACGTTATTACCGAGATAGTATTATGAAGTTTCGCAAGAGCAGGTTTTATGTTAGCATGAAGAGACACTCGGATGGCGACGACGGAACCTGGCTGGAAGTTAACGAAGTTCAGTTGAGTTATTTTCGGATCGCCGGAGTCAACTTTTTCCAAGATTTCCGAGTCGCAAATTTGTACATGTTCTTTAAGTTTCACGGAATATTCGGAGAGGCCATTTATGTAGTTCTCATCTTGTTCGTATTTTGCAGGATAACCGAAGGGCGATTTACTGTCTGTCGTTCCTTCATGAGATAAGGATGCCTCCAAAATAATTTCTTCGATCACGCCTTCTACTCGTAACGGCCTCGCGTGCCTTCTTAAATCATTCGCGTTAGGATCGGGATGCTTGAATGCTGTAAACGCAACCAGGACTACGGTGTCGTGAGTTGTCGGGGAGTGTCTAGTTACGGCAACTATATCGCCGTCGATTTGATCGACGAATATTTGTGAGAACTTCTGTTGCCCAAGATTGTAATGAAGATCGTTCAATGCCTTCTTCGCAGCGATGATACCAGTTTTTAGACCTACGTGTTTGATACCATCTACTAAACATTCGTCATCTGTCCAGGAGGAATATTGTCTTTCCTCGTCTACAACATGTATATGGTGAGGAACCAATTCGTCGTATCCACGGTTGCTGCCACTACCACATGCTGCCATTGAAACGAGAGCAGCACTTGGGAGTAAGTCGAAGACGCTTCGTTTCTCAATCGGGCTAGGATTATCGTGGGTCAAGTCTAAGAAAAGTGCATGCGCTATGCTCGGTACCAGAGGCCGTTTACGCGATTGTAAGAATGCACCCACTGGTTCGCCACCAAATCGGTAGACCAACCGTCCTTCCTCGTGACTGTCCCATGCGGACATCGCCTCTCGAATTAAAGAAGTGATACCGAGTCGATTGACAAATATATTGTCTTTCTGATCGGAGTTCGTAAACAGTTCGGCAACGACGTATAAATCTGGGCGAACTCGGCGAGCAACATCGAGCATGTACTCCGCAACTGGAATCGGAGTCGAATGGCAATTATCCAAGCGAATACCGTCGAAGATTTTCGCCGTTTGCTCAACGTAGGTAGACATGTGTTGCCAGAGGAAAGGACAATCTTCCGGCTTTTCGCCGTATCTTAATTTCACACTATCGCCCCAAGCGATCAGCTCCCTTCTTATGTAGACGTTCGAATCGGGATCTGCGAAATTCTTTAGAGGATCGCTGTTCATTACCCATCCGTTATGAGCCATGAGATAACATCCTGCTTCCGAATACATCGTCGCTTCTCTTTCGGTCAACGTTTGAGGCGCTCCGTAATCAGTAAAATATCTAGGGACAAGTGGATTTCTCTCGCTTATCTCTTTGATTCTCGGTCCGTCGGGTTGCACTCGGAAATATCGTATCCCAGCAATCGTGTTCTCCACCGCGGCATTTAAATGATTTTGAATCTCGTTGATGATTACGCTGTTAAGTTCCTCTAAACGTTTTCTCAAATCTTCGGCGCAACGTTTCAAACGAGTATCCTCGTCGAAACAATCGACTCTGTACACATTAAACTTTTTCAAAGCAAGCTGCATGTTCACGGTCGCTTTCAATCGTCGAAACTTCGGATCTCCTATTATCTCAATATCTTCCGATATCTTCTCAACGTTGTCTTGAGGCATCTGGTTCCGTGCTAAATTCAGAAATTCAGCCACGGCCTCATTGATGTCCAATATGTATAATTCATGAATTTTCACGAGTGGCAAGAAGTACGTATGAAGCGCATGACGAATTGACTGTAAGTAGAAAGTTATTAAGCATATATATTTCGTTATCATTTTAATTAAAGATCATCGTCTTACGTTCAAATGTTCTTCAGTTTCGACCGTTGAAGGAATTCCTTTCAACTCCCATTCTCCAGCTGCGACTTGTACCGTCAATTCGAATAATGCGGAATCTAAAATATATGCTGGACGTAGATGAGGACTATTTGAACAATTGTATGTACACTCCGGGTGAGACACTAAAAAGGAACTTTCGTTTGCTGTATGATTTAGAACGATGTCGCACACGCTCAGCACCTGTAATATATACAGTAAACAGTAGATGCTACAAGCAATTACAAGATATCACTCACATTCCATTCATTGCGCATTTTATTAATCAATCCTTCAACCTCATCGTATGTAACCGGTTTGTCGTCGTTATTGAAGGAAGGATTCAATTTCAGTTGATCGCTAAGACTATACGACGATTTCGAAAGTCCTAATTCCTGAATTGGTGTAAAATGGATCATGTTATAACCAGAATTTCTGGCTACTAAGAGCTTGTCTTCCCAGGTAGAGAAGGGGCCCAAACATTTCGCCAGAACAGTTTGGCACTGAATACAATCTAATGGCAAAGGATCTCCAAGCTCTCCTATTTTAAGTTCTGGATCCACCAGCAGATATCCAGAAGCGATAGGCTTTATACTATCAGAACTAAGAAGTTTCATATAATTAATATTAGATTCTAATACTATTTTTTTAATAGAGTTACCTTGGGTCAGTAACGTAATAGTGAAATGAACCAGCTAGAGATAAGTATATATTGGCTGTCTCGTTGACCCATTCTAATGGATAATACGTGTGCCTTTCAAATTTCTGATTCTCTCCTAAGGGATAATTTATGAATAGGTCAAGTGTCTTTCCAAGGAGAGAAGCGCCTAAACGAAATTCGACTCTCCATCCTGGTAACAAATACAGCCTTAGTAATGTTTGTATCAAAGCCATAAATCGATGTGTAAACAGAATTAAACATACCTTTCTTTAGCCTGTATAGTATACCGTCAAGATGTTCTCCATTGTTCAGAGTTAAAACTCTTGTTTGTTCAGTCTCGTGGCTTTCAGTTGTAGACATGTGTTCCGTCATATTTTTAACCACTGCCTAGAAGCACAAACACAAACTTTTACAGTACTCTTCCAAATGATTTACATTCCTCACAACTATCAATACTTTATTGTACAAATACATGTAAAAAGAAGAATGATACAGAGATATAAAGAATTAATGAATTTAGAAATGTTACAAAAGATATTTTTCATAGGACTTCGACAGAGCATTAGTACTTACACGTGAAATACGGTAAGTGGATAAACACTTAGGCCGCAAGTCCCTTAATATATAAGTTATCAGTACAAAGCAGCTAGCAACCGTGCAAGAGGCAAGATATTAGATTACACAGTTATGCTGCATGAACATGCATAAAGCCCGGAGATATTCTCATTCTACATGCTTGGATTACCTCTTTGTAGTAATAAACATAGAACAGACTTTGTACAGTGTAACATCAGTTGTGTGTATATTTATACTATTATTTTGCTATCTATTGCTACTACATTTCAAGTAAATTTAACAGAGGCATTTTATTTCCAATAGTCTGTCACTATTCTAGGGTCAAGTGATTAGCTTGAAATACAAATCACTCTTAGGTAACAGATATTATAATTTATATACCTTTCTAGTACTTATTATGCAAATTGAGTTTACTCCTTGATTAGACTGTTACACAGTTATGTTAAATATTAAGAGGACGCCACAGTGGTATACCAGCAATGTTCAAATTTATTGTGCTATCCAGACGTATCATTCTAAACGTACAAATGCAATGGGTTATTAAGACATCATGAGATCTGAACTTACATAATAGAACAGACATTTCAAATAATGGCATTTACAAAGCCGTTGCAAAATGGCTGTAAATTTCCTTATTAGTGTCCTGGTTTTGTCTCGAATAAAATAGCTTACTGCAAGCATAGAGCCCATTTTCTAGTTAAATTTATGTACAGCTGGGATTACTTCTTACTAAAGGCATTGACTTTTTTGATTAATTCTATGTTATCATGTTATGTCTTCTACTTTTAGTTAAGCAAAGGCCAGTTTTTTGTGTCACCTATAACAGAGACAAATGCACATTTTTATTAAGAAATGAGAAATATGATTAACTGCATAATAACATAGAGGTATCACGAATCAAAAGGCTAATATTAATTATAAGTCGATGCTATCAAAATTGTTTTATTCATTATCAAACGTATATACATAATAAATACAATTAAAGATAGAAGGTGATTTGATAATGTATTATTTGTACAGATGCTGATCACCACTCTTAATTAACAAGTTTTTACAAAATAAAGTGTACATTGAAAGCTACTAAAAGCGCCTATAAATAGTAGAAATAGATACTAAATACAAATTAACATATATAAGATTTGCATCGCGTATAATAAGACACGTTATTTATGGTTACATAAAATGGTCAATTATGCACGTAAAATTACAATTAATAGATAGCGCAGTTCATATAATTGAAACATGCAGTTTGAAAATGAGCAACTTCTCTCAAAAAATGTTATTATTAAATTATTTTGAATGGATCGCCACACACTTTTCTCATACCTTACTATTCTTCTATCGTGCGTTTTTCAGAATCGAAGTATTACACTGACATTCGAGAAATAATAGGAGAAACGTTGAAATAAAACATTGAATTAATCGACAAACCGGGAAACAGAATTTGAGATGTTTCGCTAGTATTATAATAATTTACTATTAATCACTACTTAGGACTATTACATTGAATAATTAAAAATAACGTCGCTGATTCGAATTTGACCTTTACTCTAAGCAGATCAACTTTGAAGGTCACCAAAACAAGACCAATGTTCGGATCATCTTAAAAAGACAGTAGGAGCAGATTACAGGTTGCAGTTGATAACTTTCTACACTTTGATTGGACAATCGTTCACGACAACATCGCGTGATTTCGCGTTGGAATTTCGAACATTTTTCTCACTACAATTTGATCATAAATCTATATGTAATCCTATATTCGCATCTATTTTTAGATGTTTAAAGTATATACAAATTACATGTTATTTGGAGAACTGAAAGCAATTCATATTCCAAATGGGTCCAGACCGGCAAGTTAGGTTCATGAAATCCCACAGAATGAGAGAGCAACTCAGTAAGCCATTTGCCGTTAAACCAGAGATCTTTAGACAGTCGGATAGCTGGCCGTCGGAAGTCGGATCACTCACCATCGGTGGATAGCTGGCGTATCCGGCGTATTTCTTCGATGCTGGCCGTCGGTACAAATTAGCATAAGCACCAAGGACAGATTGCGGGGCTTTGCAAAACGCGGGGCCAGGTTCCGGCTAGTAATGGGCACCATCGACTAAAAACTATCGATTTAGTCTATAGTAGCCAACGATACTTTTAGTCGGCTAAATCTCTGATACTATCGACTACATCGAACCAAATTCAGGCGGCTGCTTGAATGATCGATAAACTGCAATCTATAGCTCGACGGTCCAAGTTCAGAATATAAATACCATGATCGCTGCTTTGGATTATATTTATTCAAGGCTCGCGAAATAAAATTTTAAGATGCATATCTATTAATTNGATTTTGCGAAATTCTCGTTTATTGTGAAACCTGCTTACTTGTTGCTGCTAGCGAAGAATGTTTGAAATGAAATTTGTGGGTACCATCAAAAGCTACAAATTTCATGTGAAATATTTTTCGCTAGCGTCAATAGTTAATGAGTAATGTGCAATAAACTGTTTTTTCATTTTTTGTGAAATACTCATTAACTATTGGCGCTAGCGAAAAATGTTTCAGATAAAAGTTGTAACTCCAGTTCCCAGGTAGAAGAAACGTCCTATGTATCATAATTTCTTTCTAACTCCATCAAAAAAAAAGATCACCGACTGTATTTGGAGTCCCATTAGGCCCCATTCGTTGTCTTAACGATTACACGCACTTTAGTAGTATCTCCTCGGTGTACATATGTAAAAGTTTCTCCCGGCGTTTTTTAATATTTAAATGCATTTAAAAACTAAAATCGTAACGGAGACGTTCAATTTTGTAAAAGATTGTAAACTTGCGTAACTGAAAGGAGCATCGAGAGAATTTCCATTGTCTTTATTG